TTGTACAAAATAGTTTTGTGTTTGTACAGTCAACGGCAGACACTGCTTTTTTTTGAACACACCCCTTTCAACTAATTGCCCAATTGCACAGCCTTAAGAGCGTGCATATCATGAATGCTGGGTCTTGTTTGTTTTCTGAGAATCTACTGCACCTACTGGTAACTTGTTTGCCATGTAGCAATGAAAAATATACTAAAAACCTGGATTATTCTGGTTAGTCACATTGTACTGCTATTATTTTGAACAATACTGTAGTTGTACATTAGCTGTCTAACTCTTTAACTGAGTTAATCTTTAATCTAAGAGTTGTTGTTTATTCAAAGAGTTCACATATAGCTCTCTTTTTCACTGGGTTAACCATCCACAGGTCCACAGGCACTACTGGCCAGTGTCTTGTAAAAGCTGCAGACGAAGCTTCACTGGATCCAGTGTTTCACCAGGACTCAGACGCTTTGGCATCTGCGAAAGCTGCAACTGTGTGACCACTACTCATGATGATTCTGCCCCTGTTCATCCCGCCAGTCAACCAGAATCCATGGAACATGCAGATGGTGGTACAGATTGGTCCAGTTTTATGGACGATGTAGATGAGGTGGAGGTGGGCAGAGTGGAGGACTTGGTGGAGAAACAGATGCTTGAAAGGCAGCTGGTTGTCTGCACTGATGTAGCTCACACACTTCGAGTAGCCCATTGAAGGAAACTACTCCTGTTCAACTGTTCTGCTGTTCACTTTTCAAATGTGGCCATACTGATGTTAAATTATTACTGTAAGATGACTGTATTTATTGACAGATTTCAAACGTCAAATTATTAGTCCTTATTGTGCTCGTTATTTTGGTCTTTCATTTCCTGTACATGCCTTTGCACTGTTGATTACATCCAAATCTGTCTGTAGCTGCTATACATGATTGTCAAAACTGTAGTTTTCTGGATTTTTTTGGAACTCTGTTACAGTTTATGCCAGTTAACAGATAAAAAGAATTTTGTGGGTATTGTTTCAATAAATGTGTAACTGTTGGTGTGTTCAAGAGCATAACTCAAAAATGTAATGAATGGATTTTGATGAAATTTTTTGGACAGGTAGGATATGTCCTTGATCTCATGTTTGTGTATTCATGTTCTTTTTACAGTCAGATGTGTTAATCTCTCGCTTGACTTGGATTTCCATCAGGTGATCAACCTGCAGTATTGATGAAAAAAGTGCCCTTTGATACCCTCTAGTGATGGAGAAAGACAAGAATAAACATAATTTTGTGGCAGTTTCAAATACGTGCCAGCAATGAATTCACAGGTCACTGACTACTTAAGGCTATGTATATGTTTCTCTTGTAATTGCACAAAATCTAAGTCAGATGAATGTTATGGTTTTCTTAAAGCCATTTCACTTGTGTTGGAATTGTACCACTGAATGGCTGAGCATACTGTTTGCCCTATCCACAACAGTGTATAGCTGCAATGTACAGGTAGATCCATTTATAGGTAGGATCACCTGTGTCACCTGATTTTATGCAAGTGAGAGGTTTTTAATCACCATAAGAAGGGACCTGAGAAAAATCAGGACCCTGTGCTGAGGTATTAATATGACAGCACTGCTCTTTGCAGCCTTCTGACAGCTCTGCAGTCTCAGCTCAGCTCAGCAGTGGAGCTGACACCTCCTTAAGCTGTTTTCCTTGACTGTCAGTCTTGGAGCAGCTCTGCAGGATGTAGGATGACACAGCACTTAAGGTGCAGTTCAGCGTTTGTTGGTGTGTTCAAGAGCATAACTCAAAAATGTAATGAATGTTTTGGACAGGTAGGATATGGCCCAAGGAATAATCCATTACACCTGGACATGACGTGAATCATCATCTTAATCCACAAATTTTTTAAATAGTATTGTGGGGAAACTGAACTGCCTTGGTGGAGGGCTACTCTCTCAGAGAGCTGTCTAGTCATATAAAGTGGCCGTCACATTCACTTTGTACCATTTAATTAGATACAATTATCCAAGAAATCGCCTTCCTGGTGCATATTATGCACTTTGTAAATCTCAGTGCCTATTAACATAATTATTACCTGTCAGTAGTACAGTAGCAGACTGTTTTCACTGAACACTGAACTGTTAGTCTGGCTTCGTTTACAAACTATTAGGACTCTGATGAAAGATGGTTTCTTCGCCCTTGCCGTTATATAAAAAGCGGCATACCGGAATGGGCAAAAGGAACACAGCCATATTATCAGTGACAGGAAAGGAAGTTGGTGGATGGGCATTTCCGCAGACCAATCATTAGGCCCAGAACGGTTCTTTAAGAAAAAAACTATTTTAAGAGGATAAATAGATTAAAAATATAGACATTCCAAAATACTTTGCTTTAAATTCACAATAAGAGTGAAAACGGCCTGATACAGAAGGGGCCATGACAAACTGACCCATCAGAACTAAGTGTGTACCCTGCCTCTCGCCCGCAGCTGGCTGGGATTGGCTCCAGCCCCCCGTGACCCCGTTTGGGACTAAGCGGTTTGGAAAATGGATGGATGCATGGTTTAGAAAATGGATGGATGGTGTTCTTGCACAATTCATAGAATAAATCACGAAGCAACTGAGGAGGGCGACAAACAGCCTTTGTTGAAACTCGTGCCAAAAACCATAGAAGAAGACGTTTTTCCCTACGACTTTTGCTTTTAGCAGAAAACGAACATCAGCGTTACGTTCCTGAAGCTCCCTTTATGCTGGACTGACCGGTGACACATGGGGAAGTCGCGAGATTTAAGTGAGTTTGAACGGGGTATGATAGTGGGAGCCCGAAGAGCCGGCTGTAGCATTTCGGAAACCGTGAACCAGTTGGGATTTTCAAAGACTGCAGTGTCTCGAGTCTACAGGGAATGGTGTGAGAAGCAGAAAACCTCCAGTCACCGGGGCTCTTGTGGGAGAAAACGCCTCGTCGATGAGAATGGTGAGAAATGGATGGAGAAAATGGTGGAAGCTAACAACCAGGCGACGAGTGTGCAGATCCAGGCTCTGTACAACAGCAGCGGGCAGGAGAAGCCCATCTCACTCACAACTACTCGGCGGACCTTGAAGCGGCTGGGTTACAGCCGCAGGGCTCAACGGCGGGACACACTCGTTCTGGCCGGACTAGAGGCTCTAGCTGTGTACACTCCCTGTCCAGGACAGCTTGACACCTCCACGGACTTGGTTTGCGGGGACGAATATCAACCGTATCCGAAGAGTCAGCCCTCGGCGGACGTTGTTGCTAGCAATGAGAACCCCTCGGAACCGTGGGTGTAAAGAACCGGACTTTGTTGACGATGCCCTGTTTCCCCCCAGAACAAGATATATGCCGCTGAACACGTTTCTTTATTAACAAAACCGTATTTACATGGAGAATTATGAACTGCACCAACAGATTATAAATAAATAAGAAATTGAATTTTTGTGCATATGTAGACCCATTTAACAAAACACGGTTTCACTTTATTTCACCTCAACATTGACCAGTGTTTTGTTTTGGAAGAAGTTCACTCATTTTAGGGTAATATACAGAGACAATCTTTGCTCATTTTGATGTTTACAAAATAAACAATATGGGTCTTTCTCCTTATATGAGTGTAACCGGCAGTCACCAGAGGGACAGGCGGGGGACTAAGAGGACAGTATAGAGACCCAAAGGCGACCGGTTACATGAGCATCTAGCTAAATATTGTATATTTATGGTAAAATAACAGATTACAAATAGTTGAAATTTCAAATAAACAGATCAGTAGAGTGTTAGACTGTCTCAGCTTCTTCAACACATTTATATTTATATTTTTAAAGCCTGCACAGGGAGAACATGCAAACTCTACACAGAAAGGCACAGGGTCGGCTGGGACTCGAACTCATGACCTTCTTACTATGAGGTGACTGCTAACCACGGTACTACTATGTCACCTCAGTGGGGGGAAAAAAATCACTAAAATTCCAAAATAAGTTTGTTAACAGACTGCCAACCATTAAACGTAGTCTATGTTAGGCCAGTAAAATTCTCAAGCCCAAAAACATCTCCCTGGCATTCAAAGAGCTGTAACAGATGAGGTTCTATAAGTAATGGTGAATGAGATATACAGAGGTACAAAAAGTGGAATAAAGAGCACAGGGGAAGTCACTTCTTTTCTCTGAAAACCCATTTTAAGGGAGATTACTTGTGAGTTCTGTGAGAAGGGACAATGTGGTTCTAACTAGGCAAGAACATGTGCACTGGACAACCAAATCACTGGAAAACATTCAGATACTGCATATGGGCAATTCAGTCTGTCATATTTTTTTAACCAAAAACATGAAAGGCATAGGGGGCTAAATGATGACGTCTGCAATCAAACAGAGACCAGATCGTGTTTTTTTTGTTTTCCCCAAATAGCCTATTCAAATAAAACACAATTATTAAGGAATAATATGGAAAATCAGCGGATTAAGCACGTGTACCTTTTCCTCGGTATAAAGGTTTTGCAACATGACAATAGGCGGCGACAGTGTTCCGCGTAGTTACAACTTCCCATTTAAGCGAAGAAGGAGGAGGAGCTGACAAAAACTGCGTTTAAGAAAGATGTATGTGTGGAAGTAAGTTATAGTAAGGCTGAGATTAAGAGTTTAATTAAAAGGAAACTAAAAGCGAAATGGCAAGAACTGTGGGATAAAAATGGAAAGGGTCGGCTCTATTAAAACATTTAAAGGAACCTAGGAGAAATGAGAGGAAGTACTGGAAATAGGAAGGAAGAAGATATGGTATCAAGACCAAGATTTGCGCACACTGGTTTAAAAAGTACATTGAATGTAATTAAGAAGCACACTATAGGGGAATGTGAAATGTGTAGGGTACAAGAAACTGTGGACCATGTTCTAATGAGTTGTCCCAGGTTCAGGTGGGAGAGGGAATTATTCAAAAATACAGTTTTAAGAGGTGGAATGAACTTTAGTTTACCGGAGGTGTTGGGACAAAGGTCGGGGGATATAGGATACAGAGCACTTATTAGGTTTTTAGAGAGCACAAGATAATATAAAGTGAACTGAGTGGGGTTATTTTATTATAGTAGTAGGTAGGGGCCGTTCTGATCCATACTCCAGTCTAGAAGGCGGCAGTAATTTACTTAAAGCTGGTTGCCAACCGCCATATGGACAATTCAGTCTGTCATATTTTTTTAACCAAAAACATGAAAGGCATAGGGGGCTAAATGATGACGTCTGCAATCAAACAGAGACCAGATCGTGTTTTTTTTGTTTTCCCCAAATAGCCTATTCAAATAAAACACAATTATTAAGGAATAATATGGAAAATCAGCGGATTAAGCACGTGTACCTTTTCCTCGGTATAAAGGTTTTGCAACATGACAATAGGCGGCGACAGTGTTCCGCGTAGTTACAACTTCCCATTTAAGCGAAGAAGGAGGAGGAGCTGACAAAAGCTGCGTTTAAGAAAGATGTATGTGTGGAAGTAAGTTATAGTAAGGCTGAGATTAAGAGTTTAATTAAAAGGAAACTAAAAGCGAAATGGCAAGAACTGTGGGATAAAAATGGAAAGGGTCGGCTCTATTAAAACATTTAAAGGAACCTAGGAGAAATGAGAGGAAGTACTGGAAATAGGAAGGAAGAAGATATGGTATCAAGACCAAGATTTGCGCACACTGGTTTAAAAAGTACATTGAATGTAATTAAGAAGCACACTATAGGGGAATGTGAAATGTGTAGGGTACAAGAAACTGTGGACCATGTTCTAATGAGTTGTCCCAGGTTCAGGTGGGAGAGGGAATTATTCAAAAATACAGTTTTAAGAGGTGGAATGAACTTTAGTTTACCGGAGGTGTTGGGACAAAGGTCGGGGGATATAGGATACAGAGCACTTATTAGGTTTTTAGAGAGCACAAGATAATATAAAGTGAACTGAGTGGGGTTATTTTATTATAGTAGTAGGTAGGGGCCGTTCTGATCCATACTCCAGTCTAGAAGGCGGCGGTAATGCACCTAAAGCTGGTTGCCAACCGCCATTAAAAAGCAGAAGAAGAGGAAAAGGAGCTGACACTGAATCATGTGATTATAGTCATATGATGAGGAAACAAATGACCTGAGAAATCACAACGATGAAATCAGTCTAATATAGCTGCAAGCAGTAGAGTTGGACTTTTATTGGTCCCTTATTGATTTTGTAGTTTCTGGAGGCATATCTGCATCATTTAGCCTACCGGGTTTCTCTGTAACACCAAGGTGTGCACATGCCTAGAAAACGTCGCAGGCAACCGGTTGTAATCATGTTAACCGCGTTTGTCTTTGTCGTTGCTCTTGTTTCTCAAACTGCAGCTCGGTACACCGCGAACTGGACGAGTTTGGATGCCAGACCATTGCCTTCATGGTACGACGAGGCCAAGCTGGGGATTTTTATCCACTGGGGTGTGTTTTCTGTTCCCGGATTTGTTAATGAGTGGTTTTGGTGGTACTGGCAGGGCCAACAGCCTCCGGACCAGAAGTGCGTGAACTACATGTCGAAGAACTACCCACCTGGGTTCAGCTACCCGCAGTTTGCTCCCCAGTTTCACGCCCAGTTCTTCGACCCGGGGGAGTGGGCGGACATATTCAAGGCTTCTGGTGCAAAGTGAGTTTATTTCTTTAGCTAATGTTATGATATCAAAATATCAAAGTTTCAGTTTCAATGTGCTAGTTTGGATATCGTTTTGCACAGGCTACATCTGCTTAGATTTGTGTCTCCTGTGTATGTTTCACTTACAATTATCTGAATTACAGATATGTCGTACTGACTGCCAAACACCACGAGGGATTTACCAACTGGGGGTCTCCATATTCCTGGAACTGGAATTCTGTTGATACTGGTCCTCACAGGGACCTAGTGCAAGACCTGGGAGACGCAGTGCGCAGCAGGTGGGCCCTTAAATGTTTAGTTTTGAAGTTTAGAGAAAGGGTTTATTTTTGGCAGCGGATACTTATTAAAGTGTTGACAGGAATATAGCAACAAATGATGGAGTGTTATACAACCTCTCCTGTTCATGGTATAGTTTGACCACTGCCTTCATTCTAAGAAACATTTTGGTTTGTTCAGTTGCGTAGTGTATTGCCAGTCTGACTTTGGCTGAAGACATGCTGTTGGATTTGGAAGGCTTGCAGTCAATTGTTGATCCCTGATATCCAGAGTCTTGTTGAGTTTGTGGCTTTTACGTTTTATTTTGTCATTCAAGATACCTGTCATTTTGGGACCTGCATTGTTGTCATTGGATTCTGTACAGTAATAGCATAGTCTAATGGATTTTGTCTCAAAAGAGATTTTAATATTTGTAACTTGCTTATTTAGGTCCTTGCACTATGGACTCTACAACTCCTTGTATGAGTGGTTCCACCCTCTGTACCTGATGGACAAGAAGAATGGGTTCAAAACACAAGTGTTTGTGATGGATAAACTGCTACCAGAGCTTTATAACATGGTTGTAAGGTCTGAAGTTCCTAAATTTACTGCATCAGATGACTGCACATGTTATTTTCACTTCCATAAAATCTAGTCAAACACAGTTACATTGCTTCAATGATGGCCCAGAATGGTGGCAGTATATCTGAACCTTTGTGTCCCTGCTGACTTGCAGGTACAAACCTGATGTGATCTGGTCTGATGGGGACTGGGAAGCACCTGACACTTACTGGAACTCCACTGAGTTTTTGGCCTGGCTCTACAGTGACAGCCCTGTCAAAGTATGTGTCTTTCTAACAAGGAAGCAGCTGTTAATTGCAAGAATATATTGACAGTGAACTTTTTTAAGCCAATCAACAGCAAATTATTTCAGCATGGGTTTATGCACCTGTCATAAATATCTCCCATGTCTTAGGATACTGTTGTGACCAATGACCGATGGGGAGCTGGCTGTCCCTGTAAACATGGTGGCTTCTACAACTGTAAAGACAAGTATACCCCAGGCCAGCTGCCCACACACAAGTGGGAGAAGTGCACATCTGTGGACAAGTTATCCTGGGGTTACCGTCGGGATATGAGGATCAGTGAGCTTATGGACTTACCCACCATTATAAAGGTGAGGATGTGTGACAGTAAGTTTTTATAACTGATTAATACATCTCTAATGATAGCTAGGTCGTTTCTGCTTTTGTATATGGCTTTAAATATGGACCACAGGCAATTTCTGCTCTCAGACAGTATTCATCTGTAGTAGATGCACATTCTGATGTCCTGACTTCGACACATTGTTGGTAATGAGTTGGTCATCTTTACTCATCTTTATTATTCAGTTAAGTAATGTTAATGACTGACTACCTGGTTCTTCTTTTGCCTGGTATTGCTTTTATTACAGGATCTGGTTCAGACTGTTGCTCTGGGAGGTAACTATCTTCTGAATGTGGGTCCCACACCTGATGGGATGATCCCCACTGTGTTTGAGGAGAGGCTCAGGGGTGTTGGAGCCTGGCTAGAGATCAACGGTGAAGCCATCTACGCTTCTAAACCTTGGAGGGTCCAGGCAGAGAACAGCACCATACCAATCTGGTAAGAAGGAGGGGCAGCTGAGCCACAACAGTGATCTTAAATTTTCTGTCGTTAGAAGTGAGAGCAAATTTATTAGAGATCTGTGTAGAAGCCATGATGCATTCAAACAATGTAGAGAGGACAGGTGGACTGAAAATAGTGTACACTTAAGTGTAAAGCTTTTTACCAAGAAGAGCTGAGCATTTTAAGGGTTAAGAATTAAACTAAACAGCTGCTATAATTATAAGTTATTGGTTTTTATGCAGGTTATTGATAATGTTCTCAATTTTCCAGGTATACGTCTAAAGGGACCACTGTCTATGCCATCCTGACAGCCAAACCTCCCAAGCCAACTGTGCAGTTGTTGGAACCCAAAACATCACCAATCACCAAAGTAAACAGCCCGAGACAGTGTGGTCTTTTTTTTTTTTTTTAAGATATCCACTTGTTAAGTGTAAAGTAACATCTTTTTAAACACTGACCTGTATATGTAGGGGTGTGTGTGTGTGTGTGTGTGTGTGTGTGTGTGTGTGTGTGTGTGTGTGCATATCTACAAATTTACTAGGACATGTAATAAAGTTTTGTTATTATGCCTAATCTATTTGAATCTTAAGATGTAGTCTTTTTCTTTTTCCTCTCTGTGATGCCTTGCCAAAAAAGATGTTACTGCATTGAGGGGCACAGGCTCTTCCAGATGGGTCTGGGGGAGTCTGGACCTGGAAGTGGAATGTTACTTTACACTTAACAAGCTTGAATGTCTTTCTGTGTTTAATAGTTCCCAGCTTTTACTGTTACTTTGATGAGTGTAGAATGTCAGTGTGTAGTGTTTACGTTAACTTTGTGCAAAGTAAAATTTTTATTAATTTAAGAATATTTTGACTAATCAACTGTATCCATTTCTTTTTCTCCTTCTTGTTGCAAGTAAAGTGGTAAAATGACAGCTGACCTGTCATTTTTGATTCAGATCTATTGAAACAATGGGGAAAACACCCCTGTGGTATATAGAGATGAGGAGAGCGAACTGAAAGTTGCATCACTACTTAATAAGCAGATATTGCCACACACTGTCAGCATGAAATTTTACATTCAGTTTATTGATGATAATTTTACACAAGGGATATACAGTATGTAAAATGACTTGTGAGAAATGCAGGAAACTAAGAGTTCTTTCTCTCCTGTTTAGGTGACTTTGTTGGGGAATCCTAAGCCTTTGTCCTGGTCCCCAATCCAGCCAAATGCTGGCCTTGTCATCCTTCTACCTGAGCTACCCTACATCCCTGGTCAGGCCTGGACACTCAGACTTGACAATATCCAATGAGCCTCAAATTCCCGAAGTGAATAATTAGGATTTGTTCATCTTAGGGTTTTATTATGTTTGTAGGATAAGGGGAAACTTATGCATTCTCATTAAAGGGAATACACATGGATTCATATTTTAGCCAAAATGAAAGAATGAAACTCTCATCCTTGGTTTCTTAAAAAGTCTGTAAGGTGTCACTGACTGTGCTCTCATTTTTTAATGAAAATTGGAATCATCTGTTTAGTTTGATATGCTTCTCATCTGTCGACTTGCTATGTGAGAAATGACAAACTTTTTCAAGTGATTTAAAAAAAAAAACATTTACAAATATTAGCATACTTTTTTACTGTACTGCTTTTAAAATGATGGAATAAAATATATATTTTTTCTGATTAATTTTGTCAAACAAAATACCTTGTATTGATAATTAATAATAGTGAAGGGGCCAATTTGTTTAAAGTTATCTTGCAATCCCCTTACCCTGTGGCGTTTCTGAAACACTAAAATGTCCTTAAAGCAATGCAGAGACACTTCTCTTAGAGTTAGTTTCAGGTGTCATGGATTTCTGTAGTTCTTTTTTTTTTCACTCTACATAGAACAACCATGACTGGGGAACAAAATGGTACGTGGACTTTTGGATGATTTATTTGATGCTCTGTGTAGCACTTGTATTTTCAGGAACTCTCTCAGGAGAACATCACCTCCCACACCTCTATATTTAACTTACAGCTGACCTTTGGTTGTAACCTGTTTCTTCCCATACCCTGAGGCTACTGCTGCATCTTCTTAAATTTGAGCTGGGCACTTTATGTTCGGTAGCAGTAAGCTATATTTGTGAGTGCAGCTCATCACCACAACTAACGTGTGAAGAGACAAAATGATCTTCTCACTGTCAGAGTTAAGACAGTGAGAAGGTAGCAGGATACCTACAGGGATTTCACACCTCACCAGTTCTAAATTGTTCTCTACTCTGCCTTTTAACCTTTAATAAGTACAGTATATATGGTCTGCAGGGTATTTGCATTGCAAACCCCTACAGGCAGCAAGAGATAAGAGAAAATTTGACAATCTTTTTCTTTAATCTGTGCTTTGGACTTTTAATGGGTGCTGTCCAGGTAGCTGTGTCTGCTCTGTAAAACATGTACTGACCAAGTCATTTACAGTTGGGGTTAGGAAAGATTCAACACCCCAAAACATGATAAATTAAGCAAGAAAATGACAAAAGAATACATTTATTCTATTAGCACATTTATAATGAAGGCCCTGAAAATATATTTCCCTCAGATTCTTACTTTTAGCAGTGGAGACCTGTGTAAATACCCAATTCTGTCAAAGGATTAGTAGACAAATTGGGAATTTGCTTAATTGCATCTGGAACCAAGATACTGCTCGCTTACTGGTGTGTTTGGGGTCATTGTCTTGTTGAAACACCCATTTCAAGGGCATTTCCTCTTCAACACAAGTCAACATGACCTCTTCAAGTATTTTGATGTATTCAAACTGATCCATGATCCCTGGTATGCAATAAATAGGCCCAATACCACAGCATGAGAAACATTCCCATATCATGATGCTTGCACCACCATGCTTCACAGTATACTGTGGCTTGAATTCAGTGTTTGGTTCAGTGTGTCTGACAAACTGTCTGTGGCCCCTAGACCCAAAAAGAACAATCTTGCTTTCATCAGTCCACAAAATGTTGCACCATTGCTCTTTAGACCAGTCAATGTGTTCTTTGGCAAATCGTAACCTCTTCAGCACATCCTTTGTTTTCAACAATGGGACTTTGTGGGGGCTTCTTGCCGATAGCTTGGCTTCACATAGGCGTCTTCTAATTGTTACAGTACTCAAAGATAACTTTAGACCTTCTTTGATCACCCTGGAGCTGATCATTGGCTGAGTACTTGCCATTTTGGCTATTCTTCAATCCATTCGAATGGTAGTTTCCCTTTTCTTCCACATCTTTCTGGTTGACATTTTAAAGCATTTGAGATCATTTTCTGCACCTTTTTCTATGTTTTCCCCTTTCCAAACAACTTCTTAATCAAAGTACGCTGTTCTTCTGAACAATGTCTAGAACTAACCATTTTACTCAGATTTTCAGAGCACTATAACCAGCATGTACACCAGCCGTCCCTGGTAGGCTAGTGGTCTAGGTGCAGTGCTCTCGCTGCTGTGGCCCGGGTTTGAATCAGGGTTGCGTCAGGAAGAGCATCCGGCGTACAACACGTGCCAAATGTCAACATGCGAGTTGTCAGTGTGACAATTCGCTGTGGCGACCCCTAAACGGGAAAAGTCATTTGCTGCCTTCATCCTTAAATAAGGGCCACCTGTTTTTTCACAGAATGAATGACCTCACTAAGTGAACTCCACACTGCTATTATTTTGAACAGGCCCCTTTCAATTAATGATTCAATTATACAGAATCAGCAGCATGCATGTCATGACTGCTGGGTCTGTTGGTTTTCTATTACTCTACTACACCTAATGGTAAATTATTTGCCATGTAGAAATATAATTTCTATCAAAAACAGTGATTGATCTGGTTAGTGATGTTGGACTGCTATTATTTTGAACACAACTGTAGGTCAACATTTTCAAAGTCTGTAAAGCATTCAAGGTGCTCATGTGTTGGTGATTAGATGACACCACAATTCAAGTGGAAAAAAAAGTTTTAGGTTTCAAACTGTATATATTGTTAGAATTCCTTCCATTTCATTTACGAATGCCTGCTATGAAGATTTGAATGCTGACAAGCCTCAGATGTTAACCACAGGTTTCATGTGGGACACAGCTTTTAACCATGAAGAGATTAAAACTTTTAATTTTCTAAAAAGAAAAAAAAACACTATTATCCTTTAAGCGTGGAGACTTAATTCATCCCAGTAAGTTTGTGTCTCTACATTGTAATTCCTTGTATGAGTAAATGCATGATGAGAATTTGTGTAGGTAGCCTTCTTACCAAGCCGCCCATCCAGACGAACAAACAGCTCACAGACACTGAAGGCAATGGTGGTGTGAGCTGGGATGACAATGGCCTTGTCTCGACCTTTAGGGTTTCTGTCGTCGTCGATCTGAAACTGCAGCAGAGCAGTGTCAGGTGGTGCAGTAGGTAAAAAAGATAAATGGCTGATAAGATGTGAGTCTAGTGAGTTGAAGATGCTGCATTTTGAGATCCTGGGTCTGAGGCAAAACCAAGAAATGCAGAGAAATTGTAGAATATAGTGCAATCGTCCTGGGCTGGAATGCCTGGTCACAGGTGCCAGAAGTTGCTTGACTCCATGCAACACAGATGTGAAGCAGTTCTCAGAAATAGTGGTTATACAACTAAATATTAGTTCAGTGATTCACAGGAAAGCTACATCTCCAAGCATTTTTCAGTTTATACTGTAAATGTTTGAGTTTGTAAAGAAAAATGCAGACTGCTATTTTTTTGAACAGCCTAATATTCCTTTTTCTTCACTTTCCATAAAGTAATAACAAATTTGATACATTTTTCTTCATGTTTTGATTTGGAATAGAATGTGCAGTGTTCCAAATGCATTTGTGTATATGGAAATAAAAGCTATTAAACACTGCTATTATTTTGAATACAACTGTACATACAAATTGAGAGCCGCTGTACCAGAGTCAAATTTCTTTTGTGTCCAACACACCTGGTCAATAAAGCTGATTCAGATTCTTGCTAAGATTTGCATGAGAATGTTGATGCCACACTTAAATGTCACTAAAGATAAAATATAGCCACCAGCAAGTTAGCTTAGCTTAGCACAAAGCCTGGGAACTGGTGGCAATGCTAGGCTGGCTCTGTTCTAAGGTAACAAAATCAATATACTAGCACCTCTACAGCTCACGCATTGTATCTCGTGTTAAATCTGTAAGCTTGAAAGACAATTTGCTGTTTTACAAGGGTTATTCTATGTTGCGGACTATTTCTTGGCCAGGCGTGGTAACTTTGTGGAGCCTCCACTGTTTTCCTTGCGACTACTTGGGAAATAGTGATGTAATTTGCTGTAAAGAAAATGATTTGTTGATTTTATTTGGTATTAATAGAGAAATACAACTTGAAACCAAGTTTTCAGTCACTTTAAGAAAAAATATGATTCAGATTTAAATAAGACTTGAGGATTACTTTTTTCTGCACTTAAAACATTCAGTAGTATCAGAAAACAACACAAAAGAAAGACAAAGGAGACATAGCACCACTTATTTAACTCGCTAAAATAGCTTTATAATAATCATATTATAATATTAGCCATTAGAAAATGTTTTGACAGCGTTGACAGTGTTACATTCTGTGTTGGGGTAAACCATGTCACAGTGTCCCATCTCTCTGGGTTTCAGCGCTATCAGACACACTCCGCTGACACATCTAGATCCAATAAACAGAAGAGCTATAAATAAATTTGCATGTACAATAATGAGAACCACAACACAATAAACAGAATTATGATTCACAGGTCACTGTGCAACACCCTCAACTGCCATCCAGTACAAATTCAGATTGCATTTCCTGGTCACTGTTGTGTTCTCATTTAGCTTATGTACCCACAGGTGGAGTTTATATTTTATGGCACCACTATTGCTATGTGCTCCAGTCAATTATTTTTGATGAGAATAAACAAAAGCATTTAATGTTTGTATATACAATATGCTGTCTTGGCACAGAATCAAATATGTATAACACAAGAGAACTCAAGGATAAAGCTAAGCTTTAAGACAGAAAAGCTTGCTGTATCAAACCTGTCTGAATAAAAATCCTGGTGTTCAGTGAAGAATAAGAAAAAAAGATGCTAGAGCAGAGAATAGAGAACCAAGGACTTTTTAGGTTTTGCTACATTATAAACTGGTATAGCCTACCGAGAGTGGAGAGTCTGTATCGGCTTGATGTCTATGTTGTTTTCTTTCTCTGGCACAACTACGAGTTCAGAGTGGAATAAAAGCACATGGAGAATGAAAGTCTTATGTTTGGATCTTCCATTCAGCCCATCTGTTCAGTGCTTACTTTCCCCTTTTGGTAATCGCTCACTCCTCACAGGAGTGTCCATTGTTGATCCCAGAGAGAATTGTCTTCCCAGAGTTATTGTCAGGTTCTTTTCTTCTACTACATCTCCTTAGTAGCAGCAATTTAACCTCTAGAGTCCTGAGCTTTGGAAACCCAAGCTGTGCGGTCCTCATATGAGGACGCAGGGACTCTAGAGGTTATGACTGATCACAGATTAAACTAGATTTTTTGTTATTGTACACAAGACTCACTCTTGAATACAGAACAATGTTTACCCATAACTATAACTGACAACACCATTTATAATAATGAGAGTGATGGCAATAATAATCCTTTTAATGACATTAATATGAATAATAATCATATTGTAATAACAATATATGCAATATTGAAAAGAGCAATGCCCTCTGGCAATATGTATTTACAGTTTTGTAAACGTGTGGGTAGCAGGGCATTATATTTTTGTTAATTGCATACAGTGCTTATAAAAAGTATTCACCCCCTTAGATGTTTTACCCTTTTATTGATTTTATAAATCAATCATAGTCAATGTTTCTTTTTTTGACAAAAAAATTACATAAAACCTCTTTAATGTCAAAGCGAAAGCAAGTTTCTACAAAAGCAATGTCAATTAAATAAAAATATGTAATGGGAAATAATAAATAAATATTCACCCCCTTTAAAATGACTGACCTAATTCAACAGAGGTCCAGCCAGTTGGTGCTAGTAGTCTCACAAATAGTGAAATGTGGATAACCAGAGTGCAGTGAATGTGTCTCAAGTGATTGTAGTTATAGAGACACCTGTGTCTGGAAGGTCCAGCCACTGGTTAATCAGCATTCCTGGCTACCATTACACCATGAAGGCAAAAGAACACTCCAAGCAACTCAGAAAAAAGGTTATTGAAAAGTATTAGTCAGGGGATAGATACAAAAAAAATCCAAGGCACTAAACATCCCCCAGAGTTCAATTAAATCTATCATCAAGAAATGGAAAGAATATGGCACATCTAAATCTAGATCAGGCCATGCTTACAAACTGAGACTGTGCAAGGAGACTAGTGAGAGAGGCCACCGAGACACCTATGACTACTCTGAAGGAGTTACAAGCTTCAGCAGTTGAGATGGGAGGAACTCTGTATACAACAACTGTTGCCCGAGTTCTTCACCAGTCAAAGCTCTATGGGAGAGTGGCAAAGAGAGAGCCACTGTTGAAGAAAACTCATATTAAATCTTGACTAGAATTCACCAAAAGGCATGTGGGAGACTCTATTGTCAAGTGGAAGAAAGTTCTTTGGTCTGATGAGACCAAAATGGTGCTTTTTGGCCATCAGACAAGACGCTATGTTTGGCGGACACCAAACACTGCACATCACCACAAACACACCATCCCCACTGTGAAGCAATGTGGTGGCAGCATCATGTTGTGGGGATGCTTCGTGGCAGCCGGCCCTGGGTAAAATGAATGTGGCAAAATATAGGAAAATCCTGGAGGACAATCTTATTCAGTCTGTAAGAGAACTAGGCTTGGATGAAGATTCAGTTTCCAGCAAGACAATGACCCGAAACATACAGCAAAAGATACATAGAAATGGTTTAAAGACAACAAGGTGAGTGTTCTGGAGTGGCCGAGTCAAAGCCCAGACCTCAATCCAATAGAGAATTTGTGGCGAGCCTTGAAAAGGGCTGTTCATGCCCAATCCCTGTACAACCTGGCAGAGCTTGAGCAGTTTTGCAAAGAAGAATGGAGTAAAATTGCAGTGTCCAGATGTGCAAGCCTGACTGAGACATCCGCATAGACTCAGTGCTGTGATTGCAGCCAAAGGTGCATCTACTAAATATTGAATTGAAGGCAGTGAATATTTATGCAGTCACTTATTTCCCATTACATAGTTTTATTTAATTGACATTACCTTGTAGAAACTTGTTTTCACTTTAACATTAAATAGGTTTTTTGTATATTTGTTTTGTCAAAAGAGCCAAATTACTGTATACTGACCATGATTGATCTATAAAATCAATAAAATGGTAAAACATCCAAGGGGATGAATACTTTTTATAGCCACTGTAGTAATTACTCAGTTGTCTCTGACCTACATGGTTGCCTCTGCGTGTACTGTAAAGCAAAATTACAGTGTTAATACACACATAAAAATGCCGTTATACCTAGGTGTTAAAGGCACATTGGAGTTTCAGTTAAACATTTTCTTGGGTGTGAGCTGCTCTGGAGGCAGAGAGAAGTAAAACCTCTGACAGGAAAACAAAGTATATTTAAAGGACATTTGGTTAAAGTATTAAATGTTTTCACAAGATCAGACCACATTTCTGATACTACTTCAACTTGTCAGTTTCTCAGCATTATCCATTCAATGTATTTACATCCTGTAATTGCACGTCTATAAAATAGTTTTAAATTTTAGTGGCAGAGTCCTCTGTTCTGGTGCCTGATTCCAATTCCTACCTACATACAAGAGATTCACGGGAATATGAAAACAGCCCCACTAGGTGTCCATCCAAATTTTAGTAAAAGAATTAACTCAATAAAAAAAAGTGAATTAATGTGAAATTGCCCCAATACTGTTCTGTAAATATTAGGTGTTGTGCACCGCAGGATAAAGAGTTTGCAATGCTAATACCCCTGTTGGTTGCCATTAAACCACTGCAGAAGAAAATGGTCCAGTCAAAGCTCATATGGTGCAAAAACATCTGGGAAATGTGATAGAAATGTGGCACATATCTTTGTTTCTTTCATTATATTGAGCAACATTATAATCGCTGCCACTATTTTTGTGTCAGAGCAGCTCTGCCTCTGAGAAGTGTCAAACTAAAACTCAAATCTGCTGCTACAACATCCCTAATGCTTTAATTTGTTGCAGATGCGCAGTATACGTCACCCACACATTGGCTACAATTGAGCTCTTAATTCAACCACCACTTCTTTCTCTGGCTTTGACTCTACTGCTCTCCAGTCTTGAGAAATGGCTACTAGAGAACATGGGGTCATACAACAAATGATTTACCCCTTTTGTTCAGAGAATATGGACAATATTCCTGTGGGACTGCTCCGGTCCTGTGTTTACAGGGTCTGTCGGTTGTGGGTTGAGAGAATGTCCTGAGGACAGAGGCCGGGGTTGGAGACACTGCTGCTAGAAACTGAGGTACTTTGAGTTGACTTGTCCATTTGGCTGTGCATGTCTGGGTTTTGCACTTCGAGAAAGAGGTTAAAGTCCAGAGAGTAGTCTGTCTGGTGTGTTGGTGAGCACCCAGGTCAAGTTCATACATCTCTACACCTGCTATTTTTCGCTGAGGCCCTGTATTTGTACTGTGCAGATAGAAGAAAAGATGGATGAGTAAAATACTGAACAAAGTATGAAAATCACCACCAAATGTGTTTACAATGGACCTGATTAAAGGCTAAGTGGGGGCAACAGTGGTGTGGTGAGTAGAGCAGTTGTCTCCCAACCAGAAGGTTCAGGGTTTGAATCTCGGTGCCTGCAGTCCACATGTCGAAGTGTCCTTGGGCAAGACACTGAACCCCCAAGTTGGCCATGATGACGGCACATTTGCACGCAGCGACCCGGGTGCCCTCAGCTCCAAACAAAATTTCGTTGTTCATGTTACAATGACAATAAAATAAAGCTGCTTCTTCTTAAAACCTTAACTTGTGATCAAAAGTATAAAGGAGAAAGTCAACGACAACTGAAGAAGTAGCAGTTGCTACGGCTGATAAGTATATGACAAAGCCTCTTTGATTTCTGGTGTTCCTCAAAGCTGACTCGTAATGGAAAGACCTTGACGTTCCTATGCACTTGAGGATTGTGAGGGTTGAGTTAAGAGTCCTTCACAGTGGAATAACAGTATAATAGCAGATCTTTGTGCTTTGTTTTTGATGAGGGCTGTGTCAAACACCACTGAGACGTTGTCAAGTTGGAGGGTAAGAGAGGAAAAGGAATGAGGGGATAAGAGGCTGTGCTGCAAGTGAATTCAACACAGCAGCCAATGCTCAGTCCTTTTTTTCACTGATAGGGCAGCTTGTTTTAAATCGATGTTGTAAGATTCAAATAAAAACACAGATTGGTGTTTCAGTTGCCGAGGTTATTGTCTTTGTATAAAGAAGTGACTCATTGAAATAACTGCATTGTAAAATTGTTTCAGTTTTTTTCAATCACAAAAAACATTTATAAGCTACAAAAATTCACTTTCTATTTATCGGTCAAAAATTAGATGCTGCTAAATTTTCCAAAGAGGTTGTCATAACACATGCAGTATTAACATCATTAAAATCTGCCAGTCTTATGTTCGTATTGCAAGTGAAAGAGTGGGAGACAAAGGATTGCATGTCAGTACAATAAAAACTTTTTTTTAGCAATATTCTCTGCAGATCTTATACTTCTATTTACATACGTATATACTGTAAACTGTGTTCAAAGGAAACCTCCACATATAGCTGGTTAGGCACATGTAGTTGGTTCTAAAGAGAAAATACAGTGAGGGGATACAGCAGTATATATTGGTAGAACCACAGACAGATATAATAGGCCTAAGGAGGATCATACTTGGCAATTATCCCTCTTGCCAGTTATACCCTGTGAACCTGACCCAGCACTCACAAGCTGAAGATAATAATAATCGTCTAAAATTCTTTTTCACATCTATTGAGTCTGGATATGCCACATAGCTGTAATATCACACAATGCTATAATCTATCATAATAATACTGTAGTATTTCACATTTGATATATGTTTGTGTACATATAGTGTATTCAAGTTTCCACTAATCTAGAAATGTAGATTATATTATAAAATATACATCTCCCATTAAAATATCCCTTTTTGCCAACACATTCCATTCAGTTGTTTGAAAATAATTTAACAAGCCATGCTAAAAAAAATGTGTGTTTTTTGTCTTTAAAATGGCTGTTTTGGAATTTTAGTATTCATTGGGCTTCATCACATGTCAGTTATGGCACACAGCCCTTCATATTCACAGTACACACACATATAAGCTTATACACAACACCCGTACAAAATCCTTAAATAAGAAGTATGTGTTCTGACTTAAACTTGTAAAGGAGACACCTTCAGGCTACTTTGAATATGGCTCCTTTTGTTTTCCTTCTGTCTAAGTAATCATTCCTTCTCTTCTCAGCAGTGTGTGAAATTGAGAAGACTGTACTTCAAGTTAGGCAACAGAATTTCACTCTGGCTTTCTCCCTTTAATTTTGTGATTCACTGACTTCTAAATTATGCAAATAAATCAGGACAAGTTCACTCAAACAATATTTAAGATAAGAAAAGATAAACACTGTGTCTCAAGGTAAAGAACTGAGAAAAAAGTAATAATAAAAAAACAGATAAAAAACTGAATTTCTTTCATGGCTGTTTCATCAGGGTGTTTGTTAATTCCTGAGTGGCATGGAAAGAACCTGTTCCAAACCACTATTGTTATTTGGGTCCTCTTTTGACCACTTGGTGGTGCTATAGTCTCACAGTGAAATGGGAGCCAAAAATTCCCATCAACCACACTCCTGCACACTCGAAAATTCAGAAAGACTACATAAAAAGCACACGTCTCGGGATTTTTGTTTGTGATGCTACAGTGCAACAGCTCCTTTTGGCAAACATGACTGTGCACACTATGTACAAATAGAATTTGCGCATTCAAACAGCTGAATGCTGAAGATAGTCGATGGATATGGGAGATGTGATGAATGAAGGAGAGAGACAGAACATTGTTTCAGATTTGGAGACTGGGTGGATAGATGGCACCTGGGTGAAAGATGCCAGCTGTAGTTGGTGGACTGTGCTTGGAGGACATTCTTTTGGGACTGGTAGCCACTTAACTTTAAGAAAATTTAAAATGATGGTGAGAAATTCATCCATGGTTATTCATCCTTACTGGCAGCATCAGTGAAGAGTGTTGATACATCTTGTTGTGATTCCCCAAATAGGAAAGTGATTTTGCTGCAAATGGCATCAGGAATCCATACAGGGAGATTCTGTCAGAGGTTTTGTGCCTGTTAAGCCCTTTATTTTCAGTGATGGAGAGATGCTAGGTGAACATGCACATGCATGCTACTACTGTGTGAACCTCTGCCGCCCACTGTTATAAAAGATGAAATGTTAGAATGAAAAACGATATTCTGAGACTTAGAAAGGTCTGTAACTTATATCAGCTAGTTACCATTTCAGGGTAGGTCTCTGTGTCAGTAAAACGCTCAAATTTTATCACACTAAAATGCTTGTTTAATGAGCAAGATCACATAATTTGCAGTTGTGGTAATTGAACTGATGGGAATGCTAAAGGGGTTATAGTGGAAACAAAGCAATGATCTGCAGAAGATCCCAAACTAGGTGCAGGTCGGCTTTGAAGGGGTGAGAGTAACTAAGGACATAGAGAAGGAGATGCTGCAGTCTTGTGTTCAGAGTCGAGTCTGGGCTTCAGGGATGTAGATCTCAATGCTGTCGGCGCTCTCTGTGGCTGAGTTCTGCCTGAAGGATGCTGTTCTCTTGGTCTGTAGCAGTCTTCTCCTTGCTTCTGTTCTCTGACGGTCCCCGAGGTCCAGGGACTTCTCCCTGATGGGTAGGGTGTGTCCTCCCAAACGAGGCACCACCAGCCCCCCTGACCCACCTCCAGTGCCCCCATCCCCAACACTATCTGCCCGTAGGCTACCACTCACCCCACCTGCTGGCTTCTTTGGTAAGGGAGGAGGAAGATTCTTATCCTCCTATCCCAGTGACGGTGTGATGTAGATATAACATGAAAACAGACAGTGGATTTATCATGTCAGGTGGTTAAAAAACATTATGGTCATGTGATAGGGACCCAAACAAAAAAGTGGAGATATTAGGATAAACAAAAAGAATGAGTAACCAAAAAGCAAAACCAACAACAAAAAGGGTCAAGTTCAAATTTGGAAGAAATATGGGCCAAGACATTACAACATGGAAATAAAAAATAAAAAATAAAAATCAGCAAAAAGTACCTTAGCATGCATTGGTATCAGGTGACATTAAAGGAAATGAAATGGAAGAACAAAATGAAATATAACATGTACATGCAGAAAATTAAATGTAAAATGAAAAAGAAGAAAAGAGAACAATTGTTAGCTTACCAAGAATAATGTAGCTGTTCAGTGAGTAGTCTAACCTTTATAGAAAATAATGTAACAGATAATTACTTTCCTCTGTCTGATAGCTGCAGTTCATACAAAAATGCATTTTAAGCAATTTCTAGCAGTTACAAACACCACTGTATTGTGGACAGCTCAGCTCAGCTCTTCTTGCTATTCTGTATTTTCACAACCTGCAAAGTCTTGGAGGGCTATCTGTGCTACTCTTCTGCACACTGCCATCTTAGCTCTGGGGCAGTCCTGAAGGGAAACCAGAGCTGTTTGGACCCCTGGGCCTCTCACCTTCTTTTCAGGTGGGAGCCTCCAACCAGAGTCCTTGAGCCTCTGTAGGTCCTGAAACCTGACCCCAACGTCTTCTATGTTGAGCTGAAGCAGGTCCCAGAAGCCTGCCAGGTCCTGAGAGGTGGGCTGGGGGTAGGCTGATGGGTCCTAGGTAGGCAGAGAGATGAGACATAGTATGTGATTGCTGATAAAGTAATATATAAAGATCTTTGAAAGAGAATGCAAAGACAAATTTCTGCAGTAGTGTTTTTGCAGAAAGCTTAACTTTGCCTTTGACAGCAGTGAATCTCTGTAAAACCATGTGCCATATGTATTGTGTGTTGTCATTCTTTTACATGCAATCACACATACTCACCACACTTTGTCGGCAAAGGCGAAAGAACTGCTGGACTTTCTGAGACATGAGCATCTGGGCACTGCCAACTGCATTATGAATCAGCTCAAGTACTAGGAAGGACAACAAGCAGCAATGAAAACATTTTCAGAAATTCAGGGGTTATTAATCGTTTAACTCTTGCTGTAGTCTTTTCGATCCTCATTCCAAACTCACTGTCCTCTGGCAGTTCGTTCTCTTCTGCCTCTTTCTCCATGTTCTGGCACCAGCCCTCCATCCTCTCCACCTCTGTCTGCAGGAGGCGCAAGAAGAACTCACCATCTCTCATGCAAGGTGAGGCTCGGCCTGAATCAGGCAGGCTCCGGGGACCCTCCAGAGATGGTGTGCCCCCCCAAGGTCGCTCAGAGGTGATGGGCAGAGGGGAGTGGGAATGTGGAGGCAAGTGTGGGTGCTGGTGGGGCCGTGGGTCCTCAGTAGTGTAGCCACTTTGGATAAAGTCCTGGGGTAAAAGAAAACAGTTCAAACTGGTCAATAATTTACAGAATTAGA